AGGCAACCAAACTTGAAGTTGCAAGGAGAGGGTGGTGAACGTAGGAAGAGGGACGAACCATCTAGTCCATGAAGAGGGAGAAAATGATGAAGTAAGGGATACGAGGGGGAAGGAGCAAGACGGACACGGAGGGGAACCAAGCCTAAGGCTCAAGGGAGAGGGCGAAGAACATAGGAAGAGACACAGGTAAGCATATCCAATTACATAGAGACGGAGGTAGACCCATGAAGACGAAGAAAGAGGGTAAGCGAGGCCGAGTGAAAGAGGGATGTTGAGATGAGCGGAACTATATAACGGAGCGGATGTCGGACTTTAAAGTGAGACAACAATGTCAACCTCGACAGTAGGACCAAAGCGAAGGAGAGGCAGCGAAAAGGTGGCTTCGGGATAGGCAAAAAGTGTTGTAGGCAGGGACCTTGTAGACAACAGTGTAGATATGGAAATAAGGAGGAGCGGGCATTATGTAAATTCAGAGACACGGGTATGTTAGAGGAATGGTGGTATTAGAAAATAATATTAAAAGCACAAATAGCGAAGGTCCTGAAGAATGCAATGCAAATTTGCTCGTTTAGCCGTCGAAGCAGTACAGGGTGCGGTACTAGATGACGTTCATGATCACAACCGTTTTACGACGAGCATGCTCAACATAAGTCACAACATCACGCATGATATTCTTGAGGAATACCATAAGGACACTACGTAGCTCTTTGTAAATCGGACCATTGATTCGCTTGACACCATCTCGCCTTGCCAACCTTCTGATAGTCGGATTAGTGATGCCCTTGATGTTGTCACGAAAAACCTTGCGATGACGCTTGGCGCCTCCCTTCCCCAATTCCTTTCCACCCTTCCCTCTTCTCGACATGGTGAATCGCTCTTGATCGACCGATGTACAATCCTGTCCCTGACCGAGATGTAAGCACGGAAGAATTATTCGAACTCCTGAATGGACGCAACTCCCGACGAATTTTTCTTGCAAAGTGGGGTTCTTTGCAGTTCGTTCCTCTACTCTTTACTTGATAAAATCTCAAGGGCGGCACCGTTCCACAATTGTGACCACGTCG